GATTTTGACATGGCTATGACTAATGCTGAAAGAATGAAAAAGTACCGAGAGAAAATTAAAAAAGATAAAGCTAAATATGAAGCAGTGAAGGCAAAAGCTCGTATTCGTAATAATTCAATAAAAACAAAACTAACAGAGGCAAGTTTAGTTGAATATCGTACCAAAAGCAAAATTCGTCAACAAAAATATCGAGAAAATAAAAGAAAACGTTTAATTAATAAACCTCCTCCAAGTTCATTCAAAAGTCGTCAATCATTTGGTAAGTCATTAAAAAAAGTAAATTCTTCACTTCCAAAATGTGATAAAAAAAAAAAAGTTATCATTCAGCACCTTGCTGAAACGTTTGGTTTGATTCCTAAATCTAAACATCAACGTACTACAATTCAACTTGCTGACAAACTAAAAAATGACGTTCATAATTTCTATTTACGAGACGATATTTCATATCAATTACCAGGTAAAAGGGACACAGTTGTTATTAAAGAGGATGATCGAAGTAAAGTAACTTATCAGAAACGAATTTTGTTTAATAATTTACGTGAAACTTATGAATTATTTAAAGAAGAGAATGACAACGTTTATCTAAGTCGTTCCTCATTTGCTGAATTAAGACCTCCGTTTGTCATTCCAAAAGCTGCTTTAACACATAGGAATTGCTTGTGTTTGTATCATGAAAATATTTGTTTACTTTTAAAATCTCTTGATAAATACGTTGGTGGAAAAAGCTGCTCAACTTTGCAAATATTTACCGATAGTTTAGTTTGTAGTACTAATAACGAAGAATGTATGTTCAGTAGTTGTTCACTTTGTGAAGATTTTTTTACAGAAAAAATTCAGGAAAAAGTTTCGGACGGTAACGCTAAAATTACTTGGTCACAATGGATCAACGAAAATGGTCATGCAGAAAAAAAAGAGTTTTCAGGAAATGTTGATGAAGCAGTTTTGTTATTGAAGTCAAAAGTTGAATATTTTTTGTTTCATGTGTACATTAAACGAGAACAGTCGAAGTATTTTGAAAAATAAAAGATGGAAGTTAGTGATGAAAAGATAGTCTTGCAAGTCGATTTTGCAGAGAATTTCAATATGAAAGAACAAGATGAGATCCAGAAGGCTCATTGGAACACGAAACCGTTGAGTATATTTACGGCTTTTGTCTGGTCAAAAAGTGAAAATTTTTCTTTTGCTCTACCATCGTTAGATGTAACACACGATAAATTTGTTGTTGATTCTGCTTTGAAAATCATTTTAAATCATATCGAAACAGTTCTTCCAAATGTTGAAGAAATAAATTGTTTTTCGGATGGTGCTGCTTCTCAGTTTAAACAACGTTTTCATTTTCGAAATTTAACACGAATTGCTGATGAACGTAAAATAAATTTGAGTTGGCATTTTTTCGCAACTTCTCATGGAAAGGGTGTAGTCGATGGTATTGGGGGTATTGTAAAACGTCTTGTGTGGTCAGCTATATTGGCAGGAGGAGTGTGTCGATCAGCCGAAGATTTTATTAAGCTTGCAAAGAAAAAAACTAAGAAAATAATTCTGATTGAAATCACGAGAAGTGATATTGATAGCTCGAAAACTAAGCTTGAAAATCTTTTCAAAACGGCAAAATCTATACCAGAAACATTAAAAATGCATTCAGTTAAAGTAGTTGATGAAAATGAATTAGAATTTCGATATTATTCTACGTGTTCTGAAAAAAAAACTATAACATATTGATAGTAAACATCTAGATTTTTTAGTACTTTTTATTTGACTTTGTTTTTCTCATTATGTTTGTATTTAGACAGTCGATGAAATGTAGAAAAGCGTTTTCTTTAATCAAGGTTCTGTTGTTTTAGGCCAATAAGACGAAAAGAAAATAGTAGAAAAAGAATTTATTGATAGAAACATCAGAAAAAAAAACAAAAAAAAAACACCCAGCTCAAAGGAGGCCGGGTCTTCGTCCCGAGCTGGAGAAACACTAGCGTTTAAGATAATATGCACTTAAATTCTAGTGGCAAAGAGCCTCTGAGTATGTTTTAAGCCTATAGCAGAAGCATAGCTCACTGCAGCAGGAAATATTGAGTCTAACAGAGCTCTAAGAGGTCTCCATACATGCCAATGTGATCTTTAGTGGTAAGAGTCGTAGAAATATCTTTTTGAATGTTTAAACAACGTTTTCAGACGAATTTACATCAAATAAAAAGAACAGATCAATTTTCAAAAAAAGGTGTCACAGCGTTACGAAAAACGTTACAGCGTTACGTTTGTTTTTTGCATTTTCTACACGAATAAAACTAAATAGGAGAAAACCTTTTTTACCGTTGAAAAGCTTGTTTAAAGCTCTACAAAATTCGCTCTTGCGGTATTTAATTTGGACAGCGTCTTTCGCAGGAAATTAGAACTTAAGGAAGAGTACTTCAAATTTAGGGTCCTTTTATGTCACAGCGTTACGCGACCAAAACATCTTTCTAGAGGCTCGAGACTTCGACCGAAACTACTCATTTTTATAG